CTTCCCTGTTCTTGGTATCTATGCCAGAGTTTTAAAGGTTGGCTTTGAGCAGGACTTTCAATCTCTTTCCCTGTTCACCAACATTCCGTTTTCCATTCATGAGTTCGGAGTAGAGCAACTGCTTTGGGAGATGGTCGGGCATCCGGACAACGTGGCCAGTCCAGCAGAGTTGATGGCAGAGGACCATCACTTCAGTGCTGGTGGTCTTTGCTTCTTCCAGCACACTGACATTTGTCCGCTTGTCTTCCCAAGAGATTTGCAGAATTTTTTGGAGGCAGTGCTGATGGAATTGTTCCAGGAGTTGCATGTGACGTCTGTAGATAGTCTACATCTCACAGGCATATAGCAGGGTTGGGAGGACAATAGCTTTATAAACAAGCACCTTGGGATCCCTACGGATGTCCCGGTACACAAACACTCTCTGCTTCATTTGGAAAAATGCTGCACTCACAGAGCTCAGGCAGTGTTAAATTTCGGCGTCGATGTTGACTTTGTTGGAGAGGTGGCTGCCAAGGTAGCGGAAATGGTCAACATTTTCTAATGTTACACCATTAAGTTGCATTTCTGGCATGGAGAGGAATTGGCTGGTGATTGCTGGAACAGCACTTTGGTTTTCTTGATGTTCGATGACAGGCCGTGCTTCTCGTATGCTTCTGCAAAGGTGTTTAGAGTGGCTTGTAGGTCTTCTTCTGAATGCGCACAGAGGACGTTGTCATCAGCATATCTGAGTTCTTTAAAAGATGTTGTTGTAACTTTGGTTTTGGCTTTCCGTCTGCTGAAGTTAAATAGCTTGCCAAACTTTTTAAACAGAGGGCCAGGTCATTGTCCCTCAAACTGATGGGGGGGGGGGGCGGATTATAATTTGAAAAAATATGAATGAATTCCCATGCACACTGCATGTATCTTATTTATAGTGCAAAAAAAAACACTTAAAAAGAATACAATAATTAAAATGAAGAACAATTTTAACAAATATAAACTTATTAGTATATTTCAGTGGGAAGTGTGGGCCTGCTTTTGGCTGATGAGATAGGATTGTTGTTGTTGTGTGCTTTTAAGTTATTTCAGACTTAGGTTGACCCTGAGTGAGGGCCAGGTAAATGACCTTGGAGGGCCATATCCAGCCCGTGAGCCTTAGTTTGAGGACCCCTGTTATATGATCCTGGGACTGAGGCCACATTCTCACAGCCTGGAACAAAATCAAGGATGTATAACATGGAGGGAGCAGGCTTGTTTTCTGCCGCCCTGGAGACTAGGACACACAGCAATGGCTTCACACTACAAGCAACAAGATTCTATCGGAACATGAGGAAGAACTTCCTGTGAGAGCCGTTCAGCAGTGGAACTCTCTGCCCCAGAGTGTGGTAGAGTCTCTTTCTTTGGAAGCTTTTAAACAGAGACTTGATGGCCATCTATTGGGGGTGCTTTGAAGGTGATTTTCCTGCTTCTTGGCTGAATGGAGATGGACTGGATGCCCACGAAGTCTCTTCCAACTCTATGAGTCTAATAACAACAAGGCTCATGTTGTTCAATGTAGGTACGAGGGTTGAATGAAAAGTAACACCTCCACCTTCGTTACTTGGGTTTGGATGGAAATATATTAATAAATCAAACGCAGAAACAATCCTTAGAATGTGCCCTTTAACTACCACTATTCACTTTCCCACATAATCACCAGGCAATTGGATACATTTCTGTCAACAATTAACAAATTTTCTGAAGCTGTCACGGAAGAAGTCGACACTGTTTCTGCAACCAGCCACCCCGAGGGTCTGTGCTTGCAGCGCTAATGGAAACCAACCATTTTGAAATTATGATCATCCAAGCTGGAAGAAGAAAGCCATTGAGTTATTTTATTAATCAACCAAGATGGATTAATAAAATACCTGCCTACTTTGTCAAATGATTGCGGGCGAGATCTTAATTACTAAAATACCTCAATGGCTTTCTTCTTCCAGCTTGGCTGAGCATTATTTCAAAATACCTGGCTTCCATAGCTCTCCAAGCATGGTGGCCTGCTTTGCTGGCTCAATCGGCATGGGGCCAGGGACCGAGCTTAAAGTTTCCACAGACCACATCTTGGGTCTCACTGCCCACAGCCGCCCTAAATTCCTCTATTTCACCCTAACATTAAGTCCAGTTGTGTCCGACCCTGGGGGTTGGTGCTCATCTCAATTTCTAAGCCGAAGAGCTGGCGCTGTTCGTAACACCTGCAAGGCCATGTGGCCGCCATGACTGCATGAAACACCGTTACCTTCCCGCTGGACTGGTACCTTTTTGATCTACTCACATTTGAATGTTTTCGAGCTAGGTTGGCAGAGGCTGGGTCTAATAGCAGGACCTCACCCTGCTCCCTGAATTCGAACCGCTGAACTTTTGATCAGCATGGTCAATAGCTCAGTGGTTTAATTCACTTTGCCACTGGGGGCTCCTGTTTTTCAATGTAATGTGGATTAAAAGTGTGTATGACAGGAGCAGGGAAACAGCCAGAACATTCTAGCAAGAGACACTATTTGCACATCAAGGGAAATAATAGTTTAATAATAATAATAATAATAATAATAATAATAATAATAATAAACAACTTTATTTATACTCTGCCACCATCTCCCCAAAGGGAACTCGGGGTGGTTTACATGAGGCCAAGCCTGGTAATACATAATAGCAAAATAAATACAGAACAACAAAACATATCATCACAGTAAAATAAAAAAACATAAGAGTAAAAAGTGTAAGCATCTTTTTCCTTGGCTTGGCCTCAACAAAAGTACTGTATTCAATTCTGGAACCCCAGCTGAAAAAACAACGTTCACAAACTAGAAATTTGCAACCAAGGTGGTAAGGAGCTGAAAACAAAGCTCAGAGGAACAACTGATGGAATTACATATGGTTTGTTTTTAAAACAAACCTTAGGAAATGGGGCTACAAAGTGGAATCCACCACAAGCGAGTGTGGAGAAAAGCAAACTACAGACCACCTGCTGCAATGCAACCTGAGCCATCAGATGATTCTAAAATAATACAAAGATTCCTGTTTTATGCAGATTAGCAGTGTGCCAGGAGCAAGAAAACAGCCAGTAAATTCTAGCCAGAGATACAATTTGTACATCAAGGGGAAATAATAGTGGAAACATCTTTTCCTGTACTTGGCCTTAACAGAAGCACTGTATTCAATTCTGGAATACCAGCTGAAAAACAAAATTCACAAACTGGAACTTTGCAACCAAAGAGGTAAAGGAACTGCAAACTATGCTTAGAGGAACAGTTGAGTTTTTTCCCCAGAATAGATGACGTGACAATCATATTTAACTCTCTGAAGGATTGTCACAGAGAGCTTGCTTTCTGCTGCTCCAGAAAACAGAACCTCCAACTTAAAGATTCAAATGACAAGAAACAGGACTCTACCAAATCTTAGGCAGAACTTCTCAAACAGTCCTGTTTGAAATTAGATGTTTACGCATAATCGCCATTTTTTACCCTGTGTGTATTCTCTGGTGCTTGTTAAGGAATGAAGTCTGAGTAAAACATTCTCCACATTTGTATGGTTTCTCTCTTGTGTGGAGCCTTTTGTGGTTCGCAAATTATGAACTGTAAACAAAACATTCCGCACACTTCTAGCATTGGTACGGTTTCCCTCCTGTGTGGAGTCTTTTGTGCCTCGCCAAGTTTGAACTGTCAGCAAAACATTTCCCACACACTTGGCATTGGTATGGCTTCTCTCCTGTGTGAAGTCTCTTGTGGTTCACCAAGGCAGAACGGGAAGAAAAAGATTTCCCACACTCATGGCATACAGGTTTCTCTCTTGTATGGAGTTTTTTGTGGTTCACCAAGTCTGAATGGGAAGAAAAACATTTCCCACACTCCTGGCACTGGTATGACTTCTCTCCATTGTGAAGTCTTTTGTGCCTCACCAACTGTGAACTGTAAACAAAAGATTTACCACACTCCTGGCACTCGTATGGTTTTTCTTCAGTGTGAAGTCTTTTGTGCCTCACCAAGCCTGAACTGTCAACAAAACATTTCCCACAGTTCTGGCATTGGTATGGCTTCTCTCCGGTGTGGAGTCTTTTGTGCTTCACCAAGGTTGAACTGTCAGCAAAACATTTCCCACACTCCTGGCATTGGTATGGCTTCTCTCCTGTGTGGAATCTTTTGTGACTCACCAAGTCTGAACTGTAACCAAAACTTTTTCCACACTCCTGGCATTGGTATGGTTTCTCTCCTGTGTGGAATCTTTTGTGCCTCACCAAGGCTGAACTGGAAGCAAAACATTTCCCACACTCCTGGCATTGGTATGGTTTCTCTCCTGTGTGGAGTCTTTTGTGGCTCACCAAGACTGAGTTGTAACCAAAACATTTCCCACACTCCTGGCATTGGTAGGGCTTCTTGCCTGTGTGCTGTCTTTTGTGTTTCACCAAGTTTGAACTGTCAGTAAAACATTTCCCACACTCCTGGCATTGGTATGCCTTCTCTCCTGTGTGAGATCTCCAGTGGTCTATAAGGTGGGTATTCTGAGTAAAACATTTCCCACACTTCTGGCACTTGTACCCTTTCGTTCCAGTGTGAAGTTGTTTGTGCCTCATCATTTGTGAACTGGAAGCAAAACACCTCCCACACTCCTGGCATCTGTATGGTTCCTGTACTGTGTAAATTATCTCATTTTTCACCAGGTGTGAACTCTGGGCAAAAGATTTCTCACACTCCTGGCTTAGGAAATCCTCAGTTCCCTGAAAGATTTCTTCTTGGCTCCGATCTGGCAATTCATAATCAACCACACATTTTGCTGGTTCTTTCCATTTAAGATGGCTTTCCCCAGCATGGAGTGTTTTGTGAAGCACAAGTGCCACATTTTGCATAAAACATTGTCCACACACATCGCATTTGAAGGACCTTTCTCTGGCAGAATCTCCATCTTCTCTGTGGGTTTGCTGGTTTTTAGGAAGGCCTCCATTGTGTCCCAAATGCATCCTGTGTTTGGTGCATACATTGCTCTTCTTCCAGTTATCTGCTGTGAAGAACAAGAACAGAAACAATCATTCCTCAGCATGAGTGATAAGGAGTGAAAGGAAGTGGGATAAGAAATGGATTGAAATTATCCTTAAAACAACATAGATATGGAGGAAAAGAAGATATAGATGATGCCCTCTCCCCACCTCTTGTTCAGTAAGGATGGACACTGTTTGGCCGGCTGGAGCCTCTGAGGGAGAGGTGAGTAACATATGCTCCAGAGGCTACCTGTTCCTCAACCTAGCCCGGTTATTTATTCTGTCTCCTTCTTTCTGGGGGAATGGATGCCCTTTCCCTTCACATTCAAATGCTTGCCTTTTCCTCTAGATAAAACTTTACCTTGCTACCAGGCCTGTAGCGAGGGGGGGGGGGGGCAACCCACACACGAAATGTTTCAGATTTTTTAAAAACCTGGTTTACTCATGAATTTTAACTGGTTAACCAAATCCCCATGCTAAGTCTATGAGATGCACAAAATTAAGAGTCCCTCCAGAACTGCAAACACTATCTCAAGCAAATATTTATTTATTTACTTATTATTTGAACGTATATGCGGCCACTCCCCTGGGGCTCGGAGTGGCTTACAAGAACAGGCTAAAATCTAAAACAATTCAAAAACAATTTAAAACAATTTAAAAACAGCAATATCAGAGTTCAAAGTCCTGTCAAAACAGATATGTCTTCCATGCCCTGCGGAAAGCTGGTAAGTCCCGCAAGGCACTGACTTCAGGTGGCAGAGTATTCCAGAGTGATGGTGCCACTGCTGTGAAGGCTCTGCGTCTGGTTGCTGTTAGACGCAAGGTCTTGACACTGGGAATTTCCAATAGATCTTGGTCCTCAGAACGGAGGGATCTCTGGGGTTGGTAGGGGGTGAGGCGGTCCCTCAGGTACATCGGCCCCAGACCATGCAAGGCCTTAAATATTGACAATTTATTCACACTGTCATTACTTGCAGCAATAGCCAATGTAGTGAAGCAACCAAGTTGGGTGTGTGTGTGTGTTGAATGCTCTCATTAAGGAGGCCAGACTTGGTGGAGGTGGTTGACAGGGGCGGAGCTGCAGGCTTATGGCAGGTCTGGCCATGCCTCCTGCTGTCTCTCTTGCCAGCAGCGCTAGAAGGCAGCGTTCAACCCCCCTCCCGCGACAATTAACCTCGACTTTTTATGGCTACGGCCCTGTTGCTCCCCCCTTCATAATCCGTTCCTCCTTATATTCTCTCCAACCCGCTTTCCTCCGATGTTTATTCAGGTTGGATTTTTCTGCTCAACGCAGCGTGGTCCCCTCCCTAATTCCGGCCTGTGCTCGGGCTGTTGCCGTTTCCCCTCCACTCCGCCTGTGGCCTCTTCCCCTTGGGCGTTGTCTCTCAATCTGCGTTTCCCCGGGCTTGCTTTTCCTGCGACCGCTGTCTGCCCTGGCCGCGGGTTTGCTTTCCCCCTGCTGTTTTGGGGCTCCTTGCCCCCTTCCCGGCCTCCTCGCTTTTCTTAATCCCTCCTTATTACCCCCTCTTTTCGCTTCTTCAACGCTTCTGCCGCCATGTTGGCTCAGTGCGCCTCTCTTGTCTTTGCAAGAGTAGGTGCCTCGAGTTCCGTGCTCTCTGCCTTCCGTGCCCCCACCCCGCGCCTCCCTCTCCCAGCCTCGCCCTCGACGGCCTTGTATCTCGTCGCTCTGTATCTTGTCGGAGGGCTGTTGTGTGTGTCGCGGCCGGCGCCCGCGCGCTTCGCTTTCGCCTCTGCCCCCGGCTCGTGCTGGTTGGGCGGCCCCCCTCGCCTCCTCCCTCTCCTATGTATCGTCTGTGCCTGCCCGCCGCCGGGCCGTTGTTCTTTTGCGCTCCCTCTCTCTCCCCCTCTCTTCCTCTCTTCTGCCTTCTCTTCCTGCTCTCTCTCCCCCCCCTCTCTCCCTCGCTCGCTGGTCGCCTCGTGCTGCTTGGTGGCTTCTCTTTCGGGTTTTTTCCGGGGGCCTGTTGCTCGCGGCGTTGGGGTCCTTGGCTTGGCCCCCTTCTGGCGTTCCCCCTGTCGTCTTCCTTGTGCCCTCCTTTTCCTTCGGCCCCGGCCCTGTTCCCTCTCTTTCTCTTATTTGTTTCTATTTCCTACTTGTTTTTCTTGCTTTCTCCCTTTCCTCTGTCCGGGCGCCTGTTGCTTCTCTGCCTGTGCTTCGCCCCTCCCCTCCGTGCTGGCGCCTCCCCCGCGGTTCCCCCCCTCCCCCTGCTTCCTCCCTGCTCTGCGTGCCGTTTTGTCCTTCTTCCGCTCTCTCTCCTTGGGGCGCCGACCTGGCCCGCCCGTACCTCCCCCGCGCTTGGGTCTCGGTGCCCCCGTCCCCCCCTCCTTCCCCCCGGGCCTCCCGCCTCTCCTCCTCGCCTCTCTTTCCCGTCGCTTCCTTGTTGGTCCGCCCTCTCCCCCGGGCCCTCCCGCCCTCCCTTCTCTGCCTCCCCCTCTCCTCCTGCTTCTCAGGTGGCAGGCTCACCCCTCCCTCTGCCCGCGGCCCCTTCGGGTTGGTCCCCCGCCTCCCGTCCCTCTTCTTCTCCTGCTCTGTCGCCTCGCCCGTGTGCTTGGCCCCTGTTCCGCCTTCCCCTTGTCTCCTGCCTGGCCCCCTGTGTTCCCGCTGCGGTTCCTCCCCACCCGCACGCCCCCCCTCCTCTCTTCTCATCTCGCCTGCCCGTTCTTGGCTGCCGCCCCCTCCCCTGGTTTTCCGCTGCCTCTGCTCCCCTGTTGGCTGTGTCCCCTTTGGTGTGTGGTCTCCACCTTCACCGCTGCCTTCCCCTGCCCTGTTGCGCCCGGTCTCCTCTGTCTCTGTTTGTTGCCTCTCTGCATTCGTTTCCTCTCTCCCTTTCTCCTTGTTGCCGTCCTTTCCTGGTTTTCCCTCCCGCGGGTCTCTCGCCCCTGTTGCGCCTCTTTTGCTCTTGCTCTGTCTTCTGGCGTCTCGCTTCCCTCCTCCTTGGGGTCCTCTGCCACCTTTCTCCGCATTCCCTTTTCCCTTCCTCGTTCCTCCGCCTGTGGCCCCGCTTTCTGGCGTGGGCTGGTCCATGAGGTCACGAAGAGTCGGAGACGACTGAACGAATGAACAACAACAACCTCCTTCCCATGATAAACCATTCTTTGCTATGAATGGCAAAACCCATCAATAGCTACAAATCATGTCATGCTCCTGACACTTACCTGATACAATGTGGATGTTCAGCTTCTCTGCTGATATGTTGACACTGAAGTTATGTTGGGGTGGAGGGGTGGGCAGGTCTCTCCTGCTCTCCCATTCTTTCCACCCCGCTAATCTCAAGGCAGTAATTTTTTAGGTTTTATTTGTAATTTTTTGTTAACTATAGGTGGAATTGCAAAATTGTTTAGAAAAGTCTGGAACAGTGAAAGTGTGCAAGGTGAAAGTTACAAGATTATATGGAAGTATAATATAGAGGTACGATCAGCCTCGTCGCTGATGGTGTTTAGGAAGAGACTCAAAACATGGTTATTCAAACAAGCATTCGGCTAATCTGTGGCAATTAAATCGAATCTTGGTGACTATGGACAGGAAATATGGACAACGAACTCTGGATTGTGATTTTAACTTGAGATATATGGGATTATTATTGGTGGCCCAATAATTTGTTATTGTATTTGTATATGTTTTTTAAACTGAGATTGTTTTTAAAATGCTGTAAACCGCAATTGAGTCGCCGTTCTAGGCTGAGAAATTAGCGGTATACAAGTGTACCAAATAAATAAATAAATAAATAAATAAAGTAGGGATGGGGGGCAATGGATTGGCAAATTGGTGAGGTTGTATGAATGCAGAAATGCGCAATATCAAGGGTGCTCATGCCACTGTGGCAGGTATTGGTGATAGCTCAAATGCAGTGGAATAACAGCTTTTTGGGAAGTGGAAAGAAGTTCCTACTACACCCTGGTCTTAGCGGAACAGTCACAATGATTTTAACCTCTATTACAAATTCCACAATCACATAGCATAATCTAGGTCTTTCCTAATTTGGTGGAGATAGTCGCAATTAATCCTTTATCACCTCATGTTTTCAGTTGCTATTAAACTGAACCAGTTTTTTTCTCTCATTCTCCTACTTTCTCTTTATCCTTTAATTCATTTTTTTGCCAATTAAGTTCAAAGTGCAAAAATAGTTTTCACCCCTTTAACTCAGTGGCAGGAGAGGAGAGAAGTAGGTGAAATCTTGTTCTTTCCTGTAGACCACATGTGTGAAACCCAAAGCCCGTGGGCCAAATCCAGCCTGCCATGTCATTTTTGTGGCCCTCCAGATGCTTGACTACAACTCCTGTGTTCCTCATCACTAGACATTCTGACTAGAACTGATGGAACTGTGATACAGTAACATCTGGAAGGCTACAGTTCACTCTCTTTAGTCAGGATAGTGATTGAATTTAGATACAAGGCTTGTAGATAGGATGTCTGATGTTAAAATATCTTTTAACCTTTTCCCAACCTCAGAGCCACATGTGCTGTTGGGTTGCAATCTGCATTATCCCCAGTCCACATGACAGATAATCAAAAGTGATGGGAATTGTAATTCAATAACAACTGGGGATCCAAATTGGGTAAAAACTAAAAAGAATCAAGCACTATGTTAAAAAATTATTCTTGGCACACTGTATCCACAGATTCATCTTATGGATCCAACAGTCCTTTGAAGGCAACCATAAATCACTAAGTTTTCTCCCTCTCTCCCACGGGAAGATTTGGCCTGATCACTGGTTGCTTGGAGCCCCCGGTGGCGCAGTGGGTTAAACCCCTGTGCCGGCAGGACTGAAGACTGACAGGTCGCAGGTTTGAGTCCGGGGAGAGGCAGACGAGCTCCCTCTATCAGCTCCAGCTCCTCATGCGGGGACATGAGAGAAGCCTCCCACAAGGATGATAAAAACATCAAAATCATCCGGGCGTCCCCTGGGCAACGTCCTTGCAGACAGCCAATTCTCTCACACCAGAAGCGACTTGCAGTTTCTCAAGTCGCTCCTGACACGACCAAAAAACTGATTGCTTGGGGAAATCATATGCCCACCAATCCCCGAATTAGCTCTAAAATGTTTTTGAGTATTTTGGTTTGAATTGCAAACAATGCTTTTGGTTTGGACAGGTATCTGCATGCTTCCACTGTCCAATCCAGCCTGAATTTGCTGCGGTGATATCTTCTTAGGTATACAGTAGCTCTTTGGAATTGAATCTCTTTCCTCTTCTTCACCTACAGCTCCCATCAAGTCCTGGAATGTGCTGATCCAGCTGATACAATACTCCTTCCCCCACCCCCCTGTTTCATTCACCCCTTCAGTGATCACTTCCCTGTTATTTGTTTCCGTGCCAGGAAAGTATCAAGAATGGATTGCAGAAGCTACAAAACTAGGACAAAAAGATCCCTGGGGAGCTGGATACACTGGCTTTTTGACTGCAGCATTCCCATTATGAACAATATACCTGTTTTTTTTCCTGTCTGTTCCCCCTTTTATCCCCTTACCTACTCACTGGATGTTCCCACTGTCCCCAAAGTGGCAGTGCTATCCACTTTGGGAGTTAATGGTCTAACACAGGGGTTTTCAAACTTTTTCAGCCATGAAGCCCTTTTTTAATATATTATATAAATGTGTGTGTGTGTGTGTATATATATATGTATATGTGTGTGTATGTCTCTCTCTCTCTCTCTCTCTCTCTCTCTGTGTGTGTATATATATATATATCAGGCATAGGCTGGGCCAGTGGCAGATAGATGGAGGAGTGCTTGTGTGAACTAATTCACACAGTGCAAAAAGGGGAAGAAAGAACAATACAATATTTAAGAAGAACAATTTTAACCAACATAGACTTAAAGGTATTTCAGTGGAAGACCTCTGGGGCCATCAAGTCCAACCCGCTTCTGCAATGCAGGAAAAGCACAATTAAAGCACGCCCAACAGATGGCTACTCAGCCTTTTAATAATAGTAATGGTAATAATAATAATAATAATAATAATAATAATAATAATAATAATAACAGCAGAAACCCCAGAGGTCACCCAGTCCAACCCTCTTCTGCCATGCAGGAAGAATACAATCAAAGCACCCCTTGAGCAGTGGGAAGGAAATAGAGTTTTGGAAGCAAAGAAAGGGGGTGGATCTGGGCAGTGCGGGAGGTGAGGGAAGAAAGGGCCTGTGCCCCAGAGAGACACTTTGCTGCTGCTGTTATTTCCAGCAGATCAAAATGCTAATTTCGTTTCATTTGTTAGAAGGAAAGAGGAGGAGGTAGGAAGCAGCATGGTGCTGTGGAGCCCCTCACTTTCACCTATGGAACTCAAGGGCTCTGCAGAGCACAATTTGAGAATGCCTGGTCTGATATATCCCAATCGTTGTTTCAAAGTATTCTGGTGGGAGAGGGGCAGAAGGAGAAAGATTGAGGCCGGGGGGGGGGG